TTTCTTTGCGTGAACATTTGGGCGGTGTTATGCAAATCTTCCCACATCGTGACGTAGACATGTGGGGGCGTGTTTAAACGAGGCGTTTTAGGAGGACGTGGACAAGTCTTAACTTTTATAAAGAATATCTCTTTGGGTTTGAGACTTTAGTCTTTGCAACTTTAGGGATCTTATCTATTCACGAACAGCTTGTAACACTTCAAAGAGAAAGAAAAACTTGAAATCACATCATATGACCCCTTTAAATTTAGTTATACATTTGTCGGTTAAGTCTGACTAATTGAGTTAATTCATCAAAACCCTAACTGCTTTTGTGCCAGAAAATTAGGGCTCGGATTAAATTATTAAATATATTATTGGATAGTTATTTATTTTAAAAGATATTGCCCCTTTAAGTAGCTTCAGAACTCTTGTAGTTCCTTGACAGATAATAATTTTTTATAAGTGCTGAATATAGATTTGAATTGAAACACCACATCTTCTCACTCTCATCTCTTTGCGTAGGCGATTGCCCATCACCCCATGCAGTCCATATCTTTCGCCTCTGGTGGAGACTCGGTGAGGCCTCTTCTGCATGTTTAATGCCTCTTCTTTCTGCTCTTACCATTTTCCTCTCCATTAACAAATGCCACCTGATTCTCACTCTGATTTCATCTTGTGTTGCAGGATACACCAGACTACGTCGCTTATGTAGCCAAAGACCCTGTCAATCAAAGAGGTATTTTTATATTAATTATTAGATTAATTTTTAAATACATTTTATTTGTACGCGTATTTATTTTTAGATTTATATATACATTTGAAAAATATTTTATTCATTTTATATTTGATTGTGCATGCATATTATGCAAAGAATCCTATTTCAATTAGATTTTCTGTCTTGTTTGTGTTACATATTATTTTGGCTAGATTTCTCACATGTGAACAATGTTACCTTTTTCTTGTCCCTCTAGCATGTCACATCCTGGAGTGCTGTGACGGTCTCGCCCAGAATGTGATCAGTACCATCGGCCAGGCCTTCGAACTGCAGTTCAAACAGTACCTACACAGCCCGCCCAAAGCCATTCCCACCATGGATAGGTGAGATTCACATAATTTCGCATAAACCATATTGTCTGTTTGGGCTTCTGAATGCATCACAACATGAAAATGATGGTAGTTCCTAGTTTCACCTGCAGGTAATGTTGAGCTTCAGGTCTGAGCAGCTTTCGCAAGGTTGAAACAGGATACACACAGCTCGTGTTTCATATAGCCATCCTGTTTTGATTCCAGGCCGTTATTTAAAGCTAAATTCATTTAAGGGGCTCTCAGAAACCACACGACTGCTCAGTGTCACATCAGTAATGAATAATTTCTTTCATTTTGGTCTGTTTCAAATCATAGTTGTTGCATGTGCTTTCTTGTCTTTAATATAAACTGTGTTCTAAAACACAGTGGGCTGCCTTGTAGTCTACTTCCCTATATAGGCAGCATCCTAACCAAAATAGAAGTAATGTGACTCATGTGAACCGCTCTACTAAGGCAAGAGTTCTGTGTGCTGTTAGCATGTTGCTAAGCTAACAATATCAAAATCTAAAGGTGCGGTCACATTAGTGAAATTTCACAGACAAAAAAAATTCTATTGTCAACAGTGTAGCAATGTATATAGCACATCTCACACAAAAGTCACTTTCAAACTAAGCAGCTTTCTGTTGGTTAATTTGGTGAATTTGCGTGACCAACTTGAACCCGTGGGGAAATCATTCACCCTCACACGAAATTCCGAATTGCTATTAAAATGACTGGATTTTGCTCACTCAGAACAACGGCAGATGTCACCTGCAGCTTTATAATCATTAAACATATTGTCAATCTTTAAGTAGCTACTACTAGATGAACTGTTTTCTGTTACCGTATTAAAATATATTTATGATTTATATATTCATATTAAATTATATTAACTTTTTCACTGATCACTAAGATGCTAAATAGCTTTATTTAATGGTTAGGACCATACGAACAGAGGAGTCAGCATGGGGTGATGACGAGGAATCATCTGAGCACGATTACTACAACAGCATACCAGGAAAGGAGCCTCCTGTGGGGGGAGTGGTGGACTCTAGGCTCAGGCCTCCTGCGGGCCTACTGGGTCACGTCCATACGCAACCACAGAGCAAAACCACTCAGGTAAACTTTATTATGTAGACTTTATTATAGATGTCTGTGGATTTTTATTGCTGCCTTTATGTGTGTCATGAACAGCATAAAGTGGTTTGTGGAGAGAATTCACTAAGGCTGGTCTTAATAAACTTCTTTAGTTTTGAATAAACTAAGAGTGGTGTTAGCATAACGCTTATTGCTTCAGGCAAATAGCAAATATCTAACTATCTATCATCATCTTTATATATTTATATATACAAGTGTGCTGTACTCATGCCTGGAACAAAGCGTGATCTCAGACCTCTGCTTATATTTTTCAGATGGGGTCACCGGCCAAAAGAGATGCAGGCAGCCTCCCTGCCACCCACTTGTGTTATGAAGTGCACTGGGACAGCTCAAGTGAGACGCCTGGTGGTTAATCATCAGCATTATGTTACTCGTCTGATGTTTTGGTGCTTTGAAGTGATTTTTGAGCCTTTGACAGGGTCTGATATTCCAGATGTTTTGGTTCCCCAAAGAATCTTTCAGTGAACAGTCCTTAAAAGAAGCATTTTTTTTCTTTGTGCGAGGATCATTTTAATAATCTGAAGAACCTTTATCCACTTAAAGAAACTTTTTTTGCATCAGAAAGGTTCTATAGATGTTAAAGGTTCTCCATGGAAACATTAATACTAATAAAGAACCTTTATTTTGAAGTTTAGTTATCTGTTTATTTTTCTTTGGCCACTTTTGTAGGTTTGACTTCCGATGGTTACCTGCGAGCAGATGGTCATCCTCCAGGTAGCCGCGATTACGAGGAACACCTGTACGTAAACACCCAGAATCTGGACAACATGGAGACCTCAGCGGATGCCCGTGGAGGACGTAGACCCGAGAGTCCAAAGAAAGACATTTTTGATATGAGTGAGTCCACAACAAATGACTGTTTTATCAGAATATATATGTTTGATTAATGTGTTCAAGTCATTTCATCCTACAAATCCTAATGTTTTTAACCTCACAGGACCGTTTGAGGACGCCCTGCGTCTACACGAGGCCAGTGGAGTTTGTGTATTGGAGGACAAGTGGCCGAGTCCCCCACGGCGCCGGGCCCCCGTGGCGCCCACAGAGGACCAGCTGCAGCGGGAGATGTGGTATCACGGCCGCATGAGCCGCAGGGACGCAGAGAATCTGCTGGGCCGAGATGGAGATTTTCTGGTGCGGGACAGCGCCACTAACCCGGGCCAGTATGTGCTGACTGGGATGCAGTGTGGGCTTCCCAAACATCTGCTGTTGGTAGATCCTGAAGGAGTGGTGAGTGGTGCTTCAAGCTCAGTTTTCATACTGTAGATTTTGATGAGGAGCTAGTTCGATGTCAGAGTTGGGATTCCAGGGCTGTTTCCCAACTCACAATATAATCAATGAAACCCCAAAGTTCTCTTCAAAAGGAGGATCAGGGGTATGGTGTAAAGGTATGTGGAATCAAAGTATTTTTTGCAACTGGTATGAAAGCAATCCAGCCTGATTCGCAAGTTAATGACTATTAATGAGTGCTTGACTGTCATAATTCTGTTGGTGATGATAATAATAATATTAATAAATGTTAATATTTATTTAGCAATTATATCATTTTAGAAAAAAATAACAAAATAAAAAATAACAAAATTATGACAGATGAAAATGCTGAAGATAAGAGTGAAAAATAAAAAAAGGAATTTTTATTATTATTGCTAAAAATATTTTTATTTGAATAGCACATACATAATACAGCAATAAGGTCAGTGAAAATAAAGTTTAAATAATATAATATTTAAAAAAAAATGATAAAACTTGATGAATGAACAGATACATGTGCTAAAAATGAAAGTGAACATTTAAAAAATAATTTAAAACAAAAGAAAATAAGAGACAATTCTAAAAAAATGTATTATTATTATGAAAAAGTTGAGTTCGCAGAGCCAAATAACTTTGAACCATCAAACCAATTATGAAAACACCCTTAAAACACAAGAATTCACATTTTACTTATATGATCTTTGTTTTTCATTTTCATTTCATTAGGTTCGGACTAAAGACATGCTTTTCGAGAGCATCAGCCACCTGATCAACTACCACCTGACAAACAAGCTGCCGATTGTTGCAGCAGAGAGCGAGTTACACCTCCAGCAGGTGGTCTGCAGAAAGAACTGACCTCCATTTGAAGCCCATATAGAGTGCATGGTAAGAGGTTTGCGGCATGTTTCTACAGATTATCAAAGCTTTTTGGTTGGGTGATTTATAGTATTGTGTTTTATTTTTTAGGGTGCATAGCAGTCACCTGTGCCGCCAATCTAGAGGCCCCACACTATTGCCTTAAACAGATTCTGAGCTTCCACTGGGACTTGTGGGATATCGCTGTTCCTTCAGCACTGACCACAAACAGCTTTCAGCATGTCTTGCTCAATCAACTCCTTTTTCAACAGAGAAGACCCTAACTGAGAGTTTGGCATTGGGAAATAAAGTGCTTGTGAACACTTTTTCCCAGCAGACTGTTCAGAAATGTGAACTTATGTGAAACACATGAGACAAACCGTCTGATTCCTTTACATCCATACGAGCGCTCGTCGTCAGTGAGCTGTTGTTCCTAAATGTGATGTATTGAGTAACCGTGGCTCTGATCTTCTCTGATGGTCACCTCTGAGACTTTGGACATCATCGTGTTGTGCATATCAGCGGTTTGCTCTCAGGATGCAGTATTTGTTAAGGACGTTATATAAAGCTCATAAGCTCAGTCGCACTAATGCAGTCGTGTCAAATGCACATGTTTAATTTATGAACTCAGGACCAAATGTTTGGGTCGTTCTCATGTGATATTGCCCTTTTTTAAACTTAGTGGCCGGGCCCCCGTGGCCCCCACAGAGGACCAGCTGCAGCGGGAGATGTGGTATCACGGCCGCATGAGCCGCAGGGACGCAGAGAATCTGCTGGGCCGAGATGGAGATTTTCTGGTGCGGGACAGCGCCACTAACCCGGGCCAGTATGTGCTGACTGGGTTGCAGTGTGGGCTTCCCAAACATCTGCTGTTGGTAGATCCTGAAGGAGTGGTGAGTGGTGCTTCAAGCTCAGTTTTCATACTGTAGATTTTGATGAGGAGCTAGTTCGATGTCAGAGTTGGGATTCCAGGGCTGTTTCCCAACTCACAATATAATCAATGAAACCCCCAAGTTCTCTTCAAAAGGAGGATCAGGGGTATGGTGTAAAGGTATGTGGAATCAAAGTATTTTTTGCAACTGGTATGAAAGCAATCCAGCCTGATTCGCAAGTTAATGACTATTAATGAGTGCTTGACTGTCATAATTCTGTTGGTGATGATAATAATAATATTAATAAATGTTAATATTTATTTAGCAATTATATCATTTTAGAAAAAAATAACAAAATAAAAAATAACAAAATTATGACAGATGAAAATGCTGAAGATAAGAGTGAAAAATAAAAAAAGGAATTTTTATTATTATTGCTAAAAATATTTTTATTTGAATAGCACATACATAATACAGCAATAAGGTCAGTGAAAATAAAGTTTAAATAATATAATATAATATTTTTAAAAAAATGATAAAACTTGATGAATGAACAGATACATGTGCTAAAAATGAAAGTGAACATTTAAAAAATAATTTAAAACAAAAGAAAATAAGAGACAATTCTAAAAAAATGTATTATTATTATGAAAAAGTTGAGTTCGCAGAGCCAAATAACTTTGAACCATCAAACCAATTATGAAAACACCCTTAAAACACAAGAATTCACATTTTACTTATATGATCTTTGTTTTTCATTTTCATTTCATTAGGTTCGGACTAAAGACATGCTTTTCGAGAGCATCAGCCACCTGATCAACTACCACCTGACAAACAAGCTGCCGATTGTTGCAGCAGAGAGCGAGTTACACCTCCAGCAGGTGGTCTGCAGAAAGAACTGACCTCCATTTGAAGCCCATATAGAGTGCATGGTAAGAGGTTTGCGGCATGTTTCTACAGATTATCAAAGCTTTTTGGTTGGGTGATTTATAGTATTGTGTTTTATTTTTTAGGGTGCATAGCAGTCACCTGTGCCGCCAATCTAGAGGCCCCACACTATTGCCTTAAACAGATTCTGAGCTTCCACTGGGACTTGTGGGATATCGCTGTTCCTTCAGCACTGACCACAAACAGCTTTCAGCATGTCTTGCTCAATCAACTCCTTTTTCAACAGAGAAGACCCTAACTGAGAGTTTGGCATTGGGAAATAAAGTGATTGTGATCACTGAGTTTCCCAGCTGATTGTTCTTGGCATTGCCGGAAATGTGAACTTAGGAGAAACACATGAGACAAACCATCTTATCCTTTACATCCATACGAGCGCTCGTCGTCAGTGAGCTGTTGTTCCTAAATGTGATGTATTGAGTAACCGTGGCTCTGATCTTCTCTGATGGTCACCTCTGAGACTTTGGACATCATCGTGTTGTGCATATCAGCGGTTTGCTCTCAGGATGCAGTATTTGTTAAGGACGTTATATAAAGCTCATAAGCTCAGTCGCACTAATGCAGTCGTGTCAAATGCACATGTTTAATTTATGAACTCAGGACCAAATGTTTGGGTCGTTCTCATGTGATATTGCCCTTTTTTAAACTTAGTGATTCAGACATGCATCATACTTCACAAATATTCAATTTCTCTTCTGTGTTTAGTCGCAAACAAATGCCCACAATGTGCACAGTTTCGTTTAAAGGTGCATTCAGTAATTTGGTGCCAATAAAAAAAAATTAAAAATTAAAATAAAAGCAGTCACATTAGCAAAACGTAAGATTAAAAAACAAAGAAGGTCTGCTGTCCGTTATCAATAGTGTAGTGATGGATGAAGCACCGCTTATTCAGAGGTCACTTCCAAACTAAGCAGCTTTTTTTGTTAAATGTGGCAAATTTGCAACAGTACAAACTTGAATCCGATGCAAAATCTGCGCTGGGAAATATTTAGCCTTAGCGTGTGGTCATGTTTGCCAAGGTTCAGCGAATTTTCATTGGTGAAGTATAGTCATTTCTATAGGAATCCATTCACCTGATCAACTACCACCTGATAAACAAGCTGCCAATTTACATAACAATCTTGAATACGATGCAAAATTTCCATGGGGAAATGTTTCACCTCAAGGTGCGAGACATTTACCAAAGTTCAGCAAAATTAGCGGGCGAAATCTAGTCATTTCAATAGGAATCTGTACGATCAGGAATTTCATGCGAGAGTGTAATGGTGTGCGCACACCAAAAGCAAAATGAATTTTCGCATGGCGTTACTCACTCTAGATTACACACGGGGTGTTTTTTGTATTACTTGCGCGAATAAAAACATAATAATGCTCTCCTCCATTTTCTGATACAACCAGACGTATCAAACCAGACATGTCAATAAACTCTTCGCTGATTGGCTTGCGTGACAACGCATAATGCTAATTTCCCGCTCGAGTTGAAATTTTTCAACTTGTGCGGACGACGCAATTGAGCAGCAATTTGTGAATTGAACATCAGATTGTGAATTCGCATCTATTTGCGTCTTTTCATTGATTTTCTATGTAATCTACTCGCCCAAATAATTAAATTTGTTTAAATTCGTGCACACATTTCCCCACATGGGTTTCTGGTCATGCAGATTTGCCACATTGACCAACAAAAAACTGCTTGGTTTAAAAATGACTTATGTGCTTCATACATCTCTACGCTATTGACAATCGTAAATTTTTCCCACAAAATTTTGACACATTCGTAAATGCGTCCCTCATGCAAAATTCCATACTGCACTGATTCTTATGCAGATGACTGCAATTTTGCTGTACAATGTGAACACACCCTAAAATGTCTGAGAGAATCCTCACAATCCTATAGATATGCTAGTAGCGAAGTGTAGTCTGGTGACGCGAAGAGTGAAAACTAGACCATGAAACTTATTGTGTTCTGCCAGTGAAGACAACAGAAGAATTCCTACCTGTACGACCAAAGAAAAAAAAAACAAGTGCAAAACATGCTGACATACACAAAGTGGAAAGATTTGATGACAAGAAAAAGCGCTTAACACCATTGTGGCTAAGTACACGAAGAACAGCAATGCTAGCACTAGCTAACTACTGAATGCACCTTCAAAGTCCTCATATATATACTTTTGCTGTTGATCTGGACACAAAAGTCAACCACAAACATTTATACATTTCAATAAGTAGTTTGTAATGTCAAATCATCTTATTTTAACCTAAAAGCTGCTTTCTGGAGAAACCTGCCTCTATAAATGTTCAAATATTCTGGTTATATAAAAAGAAGAGTTTGACTCACTACAGTGTATAAAGAAACACATTTTCTTTGTCTTCCCCACTATCCAAAAAGAAGATTCCAGTGCCTTAAATATTTTTATTTTTTACTTCAAAAACGTCCTTCCACTTACTTAGGGTTTATTCATTCTTACTGCATCAGTTTCACTTATGAAGCTCTTGTGTACAGTATGTCAGCAGCTGAATTTGGAATAACATACTGCTCTTACATTTTCAGCAATATTAGGATATGGCAGAAATAGGAGGAATAATGAGTCCGGGTTTAGCCAGTTAGCAAATTTCAGTTAGTGCCTGGTAGATGCTGCAGCTGTACCATTTGGGTCCAAAAAGCATCTTTATCCACTGACAACCATTTAAAAGTAGCCATGAGTTTTTGCAAACAACATATAAATCACCAATATTTCAAAACACATACTCACAGGGCTCTTGCTCCAGTCTAGCAACTGACATTGAGATAAATGGGAATGTTAACGGATAACTTTCTCCAGGTATTCTAGACCTCCTTGCCACCACTAAAAACCACTTACTTCACTTTCTTAGGATGTTGTTCCTCTGTGCTCTAAAAGCATTCTCAATAAAACTAAACAGAAAGGGGAAAGTACAAGGAAATGTTTGGTTTATTTTTAAAGGGACAGTACTCCCAAAATGAAAATGTTGTCATTGTTTAAAAGATGCAGGACTTGCAATGTTGGTCACGAGTCATATGGATTACTTTTATAATGCTCTTTTTTGAGAGCTTAGCATTGTACACTACCATTCAAAAGTTTGTGGTCAATGAGATTTATTTATTATGCTTTTAAAATAAGTCTCACCAAGGCTGCATTTATTTGATCAAAATTACAATAGAACAGTAACATTGTGAAACGTTATTACAGTTTAAAATAACTATTTTCTATTTTAATACATTTGTAAATTTTATTTATTCCTGTGATTTAAAGCTGAATTTTCATCATTACTCCAGTATCACATGATCCTTCAGAAATAATTTTAATATCCTTGAATTTTGAGTTCAAGAAACATTTCTTGTTATTATCAATGTTGAAACCAGTTGTGCTGCCAAATATTTTTGTGGAAACCATAATACATTTTTTCAGAATTCTTTGTTGAATAGATAATTTTGATCTATAATAAAAAATAAACATTTTTTAAATTGAAATCTTTTGCAACATTACAAATGTCTTTACTGTCACTTTTGATCAATTTAATGCATCCTTGCTTCAAGTATAATTTCTTTAAAAAAAAAAAACATCAACTTTTGAATGGTAGTAGTGTATCACCATCCACTTTCATTGTATGGAAAAGAGCAACTTGGACATTCTGCAAAGCATCTTTTGTTTTTTAACAGAAGAAAGAACAATACAGGTTCAATCAACATGACACATTTGAATTTTTACATGAAATATTACTCTGATTTGAAAAGGAAAGGAAACCTGTACTAACAGACGTGCTCAGCTGTTTGTGGTGTGAGAACATGTGTAGGCGTAAAACTATATCTTCTCCTTCACAGTTTCAATGCCTCTCATTGGCGGTACACAGTGGTGATATGCTTCGGTAAAAGGGTATGTTTAGCAGTCACTTGAACTCTTTGTATTGCTGTCAGTTACAAAGCACTAATTTTGACCTTTCTGTGATATACAGAGGATTTGTAGCAAAAGCGCCTGAACTTCTTCATCCATCCGGCCCTGTTGAGTCAAAAACGGTCACATAGATAAGTGTAATATAAGACGTTCCTGTAGATGTACGGTTGGGTTTACGGTTCTCACCTGTACAGCAGCTAATAGATGAGAACGATATATTGAAACAACAGCCTTGTGTTTGCGCTCCCAGTCCTAAGCACAAGATGAAAGGAAAGACTTTAGATGTGTGTTATTCATTTAAATGTATACACTTTTAAAAATAAATTTTCTTTATTTGCGTTGGTGGTTCCCTGAAGAACCTTCATCCATGGGATCTTTCCATTCCACAAAAGGTTATCTACAGTGGAAAAAGTTTGTTGAGATTATTCAAATGTTCTTGGTTCTTTTCACTGAAAGATTCTTTAGGGAATCAAAAATGGTTCTTCTACACTCTTAAAAATGTAGGTTCCAAAAGGTGGTCTTCACAGCAATGCCACAGAATAACTGTTTTTGGTTCCCTAAAGAACCTTACCTTGAATAGCTCTTACAAGAAATGTGAAGAACATTCTAAAAATCTGAAGAATCGTTTTCCACTATAAAGAACCTTTTGTGCAAGGTTCCATGGATCTTAAAGCTTCCCCATAGAACCATCAATGCCCATAAAGAACCTTTATTTTTAAGCGTCTATTTATCAATAAGGCTGATAAAGCAAGGAGGAATATGTTCACCTGGAGTTGCTGTGTTAATGTGGTCACACGGTTCTGCAGTGCCAGCTGTTGTCCAGGTATCCCTGAGGACGGTGGGGAAGGGGAACGTCCCAGCGGAGGTGTCAAAGCCCCCAGAGCCTCCTTCAGACGAAAAACCTCCTTAGACAACTCTGTGATCTGCAGGGAGACGGTAAGAAAGCTGAAAAAGAATCACATCTCCATATAATGGATTTTTGCATCATTCATGGTGATCCATGGGAATGGAGAGGCGCTAAAGTGTTATTTTGATGCAATTTACTTGATGTGATTCTCTGATTGGTGGAGTTTTTTCCAGAATTATGGGTAATGTCGTTTTTCACCACTAATTCCAATATTGAACATTTTGCATATTTTGAAATAATGCAAAATGATGACTTCAACTAATGCATTGATTAACAATGAATTTACTTTCAGAACCCGACTGCTGCATTCTATTCACAACTCCTCTCCTGTGGCTTGATGGGATAGTCAAGTGTCCATTAGATATGCACTTCAGAGTCCCACTGGAGGACATCCAGGTACTTATTGCCTACTGTTTTATGAATATTGTGAATTCGGACATACTACAGTTTGTATAGTATGGAAGTAAGAATATTCGGATGCAGCCCAACTTTTTTTCCCTCACACCTTGCGGTCTTTCTCCTTGATGAGCCCCCGTGAGTCCTGGATGTCCTGGTGCAGCTGGTGGATGTGGGTGGACTCGGCCTGAAGATCCGCCAGCTGCTTTTTAACGGTCTCCAGCTGGGATTCAGCCACCTGACGCTCGCTCTTATTAAATAAAGCCTCCCGCTGCACCTGGAACACCTGCAGAGGAGGACTTTTTAAAAAAAATCAAACTTGGCTTGTTTTTAAGATCTGTGCAAATAGGTGGAGTGGAAACTGTCATAAACAACATCAAGGACAACACACACCTCAGTGCATGTCTTCTCGTGCTTGCGTGCTAGATCGGCTAACTGGGCCATCAGGGTGTTGATCTCAGCCTGTAGGGAGAGTCTCTGGGCCTCATGGTCTTCTTTGGACACCAGTCCCTGTTCTAAAGCTTTCTGAGATCGCAGCTCTTTCAGTTCCGTCTCTTTTTCACTCAGAGACTCCTGCGCTGCTCTTGCACTCTGCCGACTCTCCTCTAGAGAGCGCTCTAGCTCTTCCTGCAGTGAGGAAGAATCAAGCTCAGAAACCACAGTCCAGAGGTGTCCAAACCTATTCCTGGAGGGCCAACGTCCTGCAGAGTTTAACTCCAACTTGCCACAACCCACCTGCCTAATCAGACAATGATTAGCTGGTTCAGGTGTGTAGGGGACAGCTGTGGCCTAATGGTTAGAGAGTCGGACTTCTATAATAAAAAATAAACATTTTTTAAATTGAAATCTTTTGCAACATTACAAATGTCTTTACTGTCACTTTTGATCAATTTAATGCATCCTTGCTTCAAGTATAATTTCTTTAAAAAAAAAAAACATCAACTTTTGAATGGTAGTAGTGTATCACCATCCACTTTCATTGTATGGAAAAGAGCAACTTGGACATTCTGCAAAGCATCTTTTGTTTTTTAACAGAAGAAAGAACAATACAGGTTCAATCGACATGACACATTTGAATTTTTACATGAAATATTACTCTGATTTGAAAAGGAAAGGAAACCTGTACTAACAGACGTGCTCAGCTGTTTGTGGTGTGAGAACATGTGTAGGCGTAAAACTATATCTTCTCCTTCACAGTTTCAATGCCTCTCATTGGCGGTACACAGTGGTGATATGCTTCGGTAAAAGGGTATGTTTAGCAGTCACTTGAACTCTTTGTATTGCTGTCAGTTACAAAGCACTAATTTTGACCTTTCTGTGATATACAGAGGATTTGTAGCAAAAGCGCCTGAACTTCTTCATCCATCCGGCCCTGTTGAGTCAAAAACGGTCACATAGATAAGTGTAATATAAGACGTTCCTGTAGATGTACGGTTGGGTTTACGGTTCTCACCTGTACAGCAGCTAATAGATGAGAACGATATATTGAAACAACAGCCTTGTGTTTGCGCTCCCAGTCCTAAGCACAAGATGAAAGGAAAGACTTTAGATGTGTGTTATTCATTTAAATGTATACACTTTTAAAAATAAAGCTTCTTTATTGGCGTTGGTGGTTCCCTGAAGAACCTTCATCCATGGGATCTTTCCATTCCACAAAAGGTTATCTACAGTGGAAAAAGTTTGTTGAGATTATTCAAATGTTCTTGGTTCTTTTCACTGAAAGATTCTTTAGGGAATCAAAAATGGTTCTTCTACACTCTTAAAAATGTAGGTTCCAAAAGGTGGTCTTCACAGCAATGCCACAGAATAACTGTTTTTGGTTCCCTAAAGAACCTTACCTTGAATAGCTCTTACAAGAAATGTGAAGAACATTCTAAAAATCTGAAGAATCGTTTTCCACTATAAAGAACCTTTTGTGCAAGGTTCCATGGATCTTAAAGCTTCCCCATAGAACCATCAATGCCCATAAAGAACCTTTATTTTTAAGCGTCTATTTATCAATAAGGCTGATAAAGCAAGGAGGAATATGTTCACCTGGAGTTGCTGTGTTAATGTGGTCACACGGTTCTGCAGTGCCAGCTGTTGTCCAGGTATCCCTGAGGACGGTGGGGAAGGGGAACGTCCCAGCGGAGGTGTCAAAGCCCCCAGAGCCTCCTTCAGACGAAAAACCTCCTTAGACAACTCTGTGATCTGCAGGGAGACGGTAAGAAAGCTGAAAAAGAATCACATCTCCATATAATGGATTTTTGCATCATTCATGGTGATCCATGGGAATGGAGAGGCGCTAAAGTGTTATTTTGATGCAATTTACTTGATGTGATTCTCTGATTGGTGGAGTTTTTTCCAGAATTATGGGTAATGTCGTTTTTCACCACTAATTCCAATATTGAACATTTTGCATATTTTGAAATAATGCAAAATGATGACTTCAACTAATGCATTGATTAACAATGAATTTACTTTCAGAACCCGACTGCTGCATTCTATTCACAACTCCTCTCCTGTGGCTTGATGGGATAGTCAAGTGTCCATTAGATATGCACTTCAGAGTCCCACTGGAGGACATCCAGGTACTTATTGCCTACTGTTTTATGAATATTGTGAATTCGGACATACTACAGTTTGTATAGTATGGAAGTAAGAATATTCGGATGCAGCCCAACTTTTTTTCCCTCACACCTTGCGGTCTTTCTCCTTGATGAGCCCCCGTGAGTCCTGGATGTCCTGGTGCAGCTGGTGGATGTGGGTGGACTCGGCCTGAAGATCCGCCAGCTGCTTTTTAACGGTCTCCAGCTGGGATTCAGCCACCTGACGCTCGCTCTTATTAAATAAAGCCTCCCGCTGCACCTGGAACACCTGCAGAGGAGGACTTTTTAAAAAAAATCAAACTTGGCTTGTTTTTAAGATCTGTGCAAATAGGTGGAGTGGAAACTGTCATTAACAACATCAAGGACAACACACACCTCAGTGCAGGTCTTCTCGTGCTTGCGTGCTAGATCGGCTAACTGGGCCATCAGGGTGTTGATCTCAGCCTGTAGGGAGAGTCTCTGGGCCTCATGGTCTTCTTTGGACACCAGTCCCTGTTCTAAAGCTTTCTGAGATCGCAGCTCTTTCAGTTCCGTCTCTTTTTCACTCAGAGACTCCTGCGCTGCTCTTGCACTCTGCCGACTCTCCTCTAGAGAGCGCTCTAGCTCTTCCTGCAGTGAGGAAGAATCAAGCTCAGAAACCACAGTCCAGAGGTGTCCAAACCTATTCCTGGAGGGCCAACGTCCTGCAGAGTTTAACTCCAACTTGCCACAACCCACCTGCCTAATCAGACAATGATTAGCTGGTTCAGGTGTGTAGGGGACAGCTGTGGCCTAATGGTTAGAGAGTCGGACTTGTAACCCAAAGGATGCAGGTTCGAGTCTCAGGTCCGGCAGGAATTGTCGGTGGGAGGACTGCATAACCAGCGCCCTTTTCCACCCTAAAAACCACGACTGAGGTAAGACCCTTGAGCAAGGCACTGAACCCCCAACTGCTCCCCGGGCGCCGCAGCAATATGGCTGCCCACTGCTCCGGGTGTGTTCACGGTGCGCGTGTGTGCACTTGGATGGGTTAAATGCAGAGCACAAATTCCGAGCATGGGTCGCCACACTTCACTTTCACTTTTAATTATGGTTGGAGCTAAACTCTGCAGGACAGTCCAGGAAAAGGCTTGGATACCCCTGTTTTATGCATAGAGGGGAAAAAAGCATTTCTGCAGTGTTAACATGTATTACATGGGCGAAATTCCCACCGAGTCGGACTTGTAACCCAAAGGATGCAGGTTCGAGTCTCAGGTCCGGCAGGAATTGTCGGTGGGAGGACTGCATAACCAGCACCCTAAAAACCACGACTGAGGTAAGACCCTTGAGCAAGGCACTGAACCCCCAACTGCTCCCCGGGCGCCGCAGCAATATGGCTGCCCACTGCTCCGGGTGAGTTCACGGTGCGCGTGTTTGCACTTGGATGAGTTAAATGCAGAGCACAAATTCCGAGCATGGGTCGCCACACTTCACTTTCACTTTTAATTATGGTTGGAGCTAAACTCTGCAGGACAGTCCAGGAAAAGGCTTGGATACCCCTGTTTTATGCATAGAGGGGAAAAAAGCATTTCTGCAGTGTTAACATGTATTACATGGGCGAAATTCCCACCCCACAGCTGATTTTATTGGCCAACTTCACGGATTCACACATATCCCAAAGAACAATTCATTCGCAAATTGGACAATGCTACATCTTAGCATCTTATGTAACTTACCTTGACTTTATCATGGTCTTCCTTACTAACTGAGTCTTTTTGTACAGCCTGCAGCTCGGATTCCAGTCTGGCAAGCTCGGTTTGGGCTTTCTCACGCAGTGTCCTCTCTGCTTGCAGCTTTTTCTCTGTTTGTGCCAGCTGCTGGGCTACTGCAGACAGCACCTCCTGGTGTTTTACAAGTGGCACTGCATCTCTCTGCTGTAGCGCATCCTGAGCCCAACTTTCTCTCTCGGCACACAGGCTGTCCAGAGCTTGTGCTGCCTCTTGCCTTGCAACTTCCAGCTCCTCCTGTATCGCCTCCAAGGTCCGTCCGCCTGGTGACAGGTGCAGGGAGTGCTCTGATTGGTTTAAAATTGAAGTTATATTTAAAGGCAGGAATCAAATGGTTATTTCGGAGAGTCTCAGAGGGACAACAGGTGCACTCACCAGATGCAATAGAAACCTCTGAGCTCTCGGACGGATCCTCGTCGTCCTCATCTTTGCCAGTGTGGGATGAGGGGCGGAGCCTTTCCAGCTCCAGCAAGGCCTGGTTGAGTCGAGTAGCCACTTCAGCTCGTTCTCGATCTAGCTGGTTAAGCTGAAGACCCAAAGTGACTTGAACCTCCTCAAACTGACCTCGAGGGACACTCTCCTTCAACGCCTGCTCAAGTTCTTCCACCCGTGCCTGCAACCCGTTCACCGGCATTCCCTCGCCCTCCTCGTGCCCTGACGTCTTGCTTTGCTCCAGGGCTTTTTCCAGCTCTTCCACCCGCTTTTTAAAGCTCACAACTGTCTCGTTCTCCTCCTCTCCCTCTTTCCCTTTCTCTCTATCCTGCAGAGCTGCTTCAAGTTCCGTCACCCTCTGTTTCAGCTGTTGGATGGTGTCGTTGTCACCTTCACTAAGCCCCTCCCCATCTGTCTTTTTGCTAGCTAGCTCCACCTCCAGCTCCTGCACCCTTGCTCTCAGCTGCTGGTTCTCCAGATTTGCCCCTTCCTCAGGGGACTCGGAGCCCCCTTCTGGCTTCTCTCCTGCTTCCTCCACTGAATAGACCCCCAGACGCATCTGTTCTTTGAGTTCCTCTAACTCGGCCTGGGCTTGGGCCAGCTGTTCCTCTAGAACTTTTTGATCTTTTTCCTCTGATCTAAGAAGGAAAGCAAACATTTAAATTACTTGACAGGATTCGTAAGTGCATGAGGGATTGATACTAGTTTGGGTTAGGTAAGCTCCAGCTCCAGCTCCAATAACTTCCTTGTCAATAGGGGTGAGAATTGAGCCATGATACGATATTATTGCAATTTTATTGTGATTTTCTTACATTTTATTTCAAAGGCAGAATATCAAGCAGACAGACTGACCAACACTGTCATAAAAACTGTAAAGCAATATATAAATGATATAAAAAAGCAATTGATTTTATTATTCAGAACCAAAAGGTTAATCAGGTTTTCATATTTGCAATTTTTATAATAAAATATTGCTCTTTGGCGTTCATGTATTGCTACATTGTCACAAAGCCAAATATCCAATATCTACCAACAACATTCTCTATCAATGGTTAAATATTTTTCAAATATTTTTTGTTCATTTTGAGTAAATATTTTGTAAAATTAGCATTTCAATTCAGCAATTTCCCAATATATCATAAGTTTGAAATATCAAGCAGCATAACAAACTTTTTTGGAAATGTAAAATATGCCCGTGCCCACTTTTAAATAAAAAATAAGGTCGATAACAACCAATAAAGAAACAAGGAGCATATTAATGACATTGACAATAAGCAAAAACTTGTTTTCTGAACGAAAAAATACACCAAATGTATAGATACAGGAGACATATACAGTATGTGCTATTAGTTAATGACCTGAATCTGAAACATTCTGAATTATATCAAGGAAAAGATT